GCAATTTTCTGCTTCAGTCTGTCTGTTATCTTACTCAAAGTCTTGTATACATTTGTCTTTTTGTTACAGGTACAAGAGCTCTTTTCAACATTTCTTGTAATGCAGGTCTTATGAGGTAAATTTCCTCAGCTTTTGTTTGTCTGAAAAAGCCTTTATTTTGACTTCATATCTAAAGGATAACTTTTCTGGATATATTATTCTTGACTTGTGGTTTCTCTCTTTCAATATTTTGAATACGTCATTTCACTCTCTCCTGACTTATAAGGTTTATGCTGAAAAATGTGGTGATAATCTGATGGAGTTTTCTTTGTAGGTTACTTTTTTTTCTTAGCTGCCTTGAGAATTCTTCCTTTGTCACTAACTTTTGACAGTTTTAATATAACGTGTCTTGGAGAAAGTCTTTTTGTGTTGAGATAATTAGGTAATCTATTAGCTTCTTGTATTTGATTGTTCAGCTCCTTTTATAGGTTTGGGAAGTTCTCATCAATTATTTCTGCTCCCTTCTCTCTCTCTTCTCCTGGTACACTTATTTTTCTTGTGTTGCTCTTTCTAATGGAGTCAGACAGTTCTCATAGAACTCTTTCATCTTTTAAACTCTTAATTCTCTCTCTTCTTCAATCTGAATCATTTCTAGATTTCTATCTTTGAATTTGCTAATTCTCTTCCCTGTGGTTTCTTCTATTTTCGATGCTTTTAAATGCATTCTTCATCTCATGTATTGAGTTTCTCAGCTCTAAAATTTCTGTTTGTTTTTTTTAATAGTTTATTTTTTTTTGAAAATTTTTGTTCATTAATTCTATTCCTGAGCTCATTGAACTACCTTTCTGAGTTTTCTTGTGTCTCACTGAGTTTTTCATAACTGTAATCTTGAAGATTCTGTCATTTAAACCAGTCTTTCATGTCTTTGAGTTTGATTTCTGGAGACTTTTTGTTTTCTTTCTGTGCTACCATGTTACCTTGGTTATTCATGGTAGTGGATGGATTGTTTCTCTGCCTGCGCATTTGAGGTAGTGAACTCTTTTCTTGTTTAGACACTGTTTTGCTGTTACCAAATCAGCAGGTTGATAAGTATAGTTATTTTTTTTTAATTTCCTAGTTGATGGCATTCTTACAAAAGTTTTTGTTTTCTCTTACCTAACTTTGCTTGTACTTCCAGGACCTACGCTATTTGCACTCCCAGGATCATTGTGAGATGGTGTCACTTACCTCATGGAAAATGCCATGTACCCACCAGGGTGGTACTTGTCCCTTCAATGTTCAGCTCGCCTTGGTCTTGGGGCTCCCCCACTGTGCTGAAGAACTGGGTTTACAAGCTCCATGTGCTGCCTCCTTGTCACTAATGGTCTTTGGCCCCAATATGATATTTTAGGCATCTCCACTGCCTCTACCAGGTTCCACCCTGATGGATGGAGGAAGGGAAGTAGATTCATGAGTCTGTGGTGCTGCCTCCTTGTTAGTTATGCCACTGGGTTTTGCTGCAATGAGAGAGGGAAAAGGATCCAGCTTCCCTAGGCAGGGACCCTGCTTCTGCCTCTCTTACACTGCAGGTCATAGTGTGAGGGTCCCAGCCCTACTCTTCAATCACTACTGTATAGCTGGGCCACAGTGGTGTCTGTATCCACTGCCCCTGTCTTTCTCTCAGCC